ATGGTGATCTTCCGTGACAAGTTTCTAGTTTCCTTGACAAGCTCGTGTGAACCGTGCGTGGGAACTATAGTCTGGAACATTTATCTCACCTCAAGGTATTTCAATTCTTGTACACTTGCCAAGTTTTTCTTAATTGGCAGCCGTACACACGAACTGAAATTCAGTGTCAATTTTTTGCCGTACACACAAGCAAGTAAAACTAGTCAAGGGAAAAAAATTGCTCGTCTAATGCGGGGTCGTTTACATCAAGCGATTTTGCTGCACTGACTTATGTTATCTTCTAAATAGTGCATGGTAGCAAGGAAATTATATGTGAGCTTTGCAATTGGGCACAAAACATGGACTGGACCAATCTCGTATCCAGAGCAATGCCTGTGCGCGGGCTAGGATGGCATTGGCTCTGGGGAAATTGAATTTTTCCTGTGCTGTGATTGGTTTAACGTCTATCAATCGTGCATGCCGACAAAGAACCGGAACCCCAGAATTTAGGGGTTCCGGTTTCAATTTCCCCAGAGCCAATGCCATCCTAGCCCGCGCACAGGCATTGCTCTGGGTACGAGATTGGGACTGGACTGGACCGTTGGACTGGACTGTTGGACTGGACTGTTGGACTGGACAGTTGGACTGGACTGGACAGTTGGACTGGACTGATTTTTACATTTTTTCTATTCTGGTGGCATTTTTCTATTCTATTTTTTCTATTCAGGTGGCATGGCACAAAAGAATATTTTATCACAGAATAGATATACCATGTCATGTCCATTTTGTGATTTTTCAATGAACATTGTCTGGGGTGTACCAGGAGGAGATTGGTTGCAAGTCAAGAATATAACGTTCTGCACCCTTTGATTTTCGGAAATTGAAATACTTTACTTTCGCCGATGAATTCATTTTATAACTGGAGTGGAATCGCTTAAAGCGAAAGAAACCCCAGTAAGTAGAATAGAATACAATACAATACAATACCAAACATAAACTACTTATCTGTCTTTGCTATGGGTAGCCTGCTGGCATACGTATTAATTTCAATATTTCAGTCTGCATGGCCATGGGCGTAGGAAGAGCGATATATTTTTTTTTTGGGGGGGGGGAGGGGCTCATATTCAAATATTAATAGTGTTCGCAGACTGTAAAAACAATCAATTTCAAAAGAAGTGAATGATGCAGAACACGAATATATGAATATGAGCTCCCCCCCGCCCCAATTATCGATCTTTCTACGCCCATGGCCATGCAGACTGAAATATCGAAATTTATTACGTATTCGAGCAGGCTACCCATAGCAAAGACAGATAAGTAGTTTATGTATTGTATTGTATTGTATTCTATTCTATTCTACTTACTGGGGTATCTTTCTCTTTCGAAGGTAAAGTATTTCAATTTCCGAAAATCAAAGAAAGTGCAGAACGTTATATTCTTGACTTGCAACCAATCTCCTCCTGGTACACCCCAGACAATGTTCATTGATAAAATCACAAAATAGACATGACATGGTATATCTATTCTGTGATAAAATATTCTTTTGTGCCATGTCACCTGACATGGCGGGTGACGTGCAAGTCAAGAATAGAGAAAATGTAAAAATCAGTCCAGTCCAACTGTCCAGTCCAGTCCAATTGTCCAGTCCAGTCCAACAGTCCAGTCCAACAGTCCAGTCCAACTGTCCAGTCCAGTCCATGTTTTGTACTATGCCCTACATGACTACATCATTAACATGGCTCAGTCCGCTGTATTCGAAATTGCGATTGCAAGTCAAGCAGAACACAGTAATGCCTCGTGTAACTTGACAGTACTTGAGTACTTCGAACCACGTTTCAACTCGACAATATTCATCACTATGTTAGATCTGAAGAGGAAAAGATCGCCCTTATCACCCTCCCCCCCCCCCCCCCCCCCCCC